TCACATTGGATGTCAACCTGTAGTTTGAAAAGCACTGCTCTGAATTATCTCCAGGATTCTCTGTTTTTTCAAGAGAATTATGTGTTTTGTGTTGCACACTTAATTCTCTGCTAGATGCTACACTAAGTGCTTTAATATGTATTTTTTTATATTTAATTATTGGAGTTCTTTAAGTAACTTGAGACTCTTATTATTCCCTTTTTACCTACAAAGAAATAAATTCCTATAGTCGCTAAGTGGTAAAACTGAGATTTCCCAGGCAGTTGATTATTAGGCCTATGTTCTGACCATGATACTAACAAATTTATTATAAAAATTAAGTAGCTAATCAAAATCCTAACCCCAGCACTAAATTGGATTTTATACTTGGAAGATTCCTCAGCCAGTATTGGTGACTATAAGAATTTTTTTTATTGAAGATTACTGCATTGCAGATTTGTTCTAGATTAAGGTAAGGAAGGACTCCATAATAAATCATTTACAAATAACAAGTTCATTTTGCTTTAGAATGAGAATAAACTGCATAAATAACACATTGTTACAAAAAATGTAACAATGACAGTATAATTGATTTGTAAAGAAACAAAAGTGGGGGGTTAGTATAATGTGAAAGAGAGTGGAAGTAAAAACCAGGAAGAGAAAGAAGTGAGCCAACATTTATTGAGCACTGTTTTAGATGCTTTCGTATAGTAATCTACTGATAATTCATAAAGATGGCAAACAGCATTTATTTTAAGGACTCAGAACCAGTTGCCATAGAGGACCCTGTCTTCTCTAGAAATATTTGGATGAGTCTATATTCAGAATTAGAATTTCACTGTACAGAATGCTGGCTGTTTATGTGCTTTCTGATGCCCCAAGATAAAATTGAGATCCAAAATGTAAAAAACCATGGCTTAATAAGTCTTATAAAATTGAAATTTGATTACTTTTGTATTTAGCCCACTCTTCTGATCATCTGAACAACGTTGACAGTTTTCCTGATAAGTTAGCTCATTCATTATAGGGTTTTTAAATATCACATAAAGTTCACATTAAATATTGTAACTTACATTGCCTCTAACTTGTTGCCTGGGTAGACAACATCACTTTGACTCTATGCCATATAGTACCTTCTATTTAGATCTATATTCTATTTCTTTTTTGTTGTTTTATTTTTTATTCAACATATCTATTTAGTCTTTATTATCTTCAGTGTCTGCACTATTCTTCTGTGCTAATGTATTTTAAATAACTCACTGCTAGGTATTTCCTGGAAATAACTTGATTTGGGGGAAACAACACATTATAGATTAAGTTCGGACACTTAATTAGCCTTATGACTTTGGGCATATTCTTCAACTTCAGCATGCCCATCTGTAAAATGGAATTAAAGCATCTACCTCACCATAATAGACTGTTTGTGTTTCTGTCCAAATGATCAATGCCAGTGTACATGATTACTAGGAAAGTATATGAATTTATTTCAAAGCACATCAGCTTAATTTCTCAGTGTCTATATCTATAAAATGAATACGTTGGTTTAGATAGCAGGGAACCTTTTTGCCTTATAAAGTGTAGAGATAATTTGGTGAATTTGTGCTTTGAAGAAGTCAGTAAAATGTCCTTATTTTTTTGTTTTGTTTGTTTGGGATTGAACCCAGGGGCATTTAACCACTGAGCCACATCCCCATCCATCCATTTATTTATTTATTTATTTAGACAAGTTTTAATTTTAAAAAATTATATTGGCAAATATGTCTTCAAATAAAGAGTAACAGATATCACAAATGTACCTGGGTAGTGGTTTCTTGGGAAATTTCCTAGAAAAGGGGAAAAAGAATGATCCCAAGTGCCTGGTTAGAACATCTGGAAATTCCAGTGGTTTCCAAGGTTTTGCTTTCAACAAAAGTTGGGAAAGTCCAGTCAAGTTATTAGCTGACAAAAACTAATTAAAAGAAACGAATGACAGGCCAGAATGCTGTTATTTAAGTAAAATATGTGCAAAGAATTGGCAGACATCATAGAGCCACTTGGGGGTAGGGCTTCCTAGTGTACCTGTTGGTCCCCCTTGCCACCTGCTTTTCTTTCCTCCCCTCCCCTCCCCTCCCTCATCCTCTTCCTCTTTATCCTCCTTGCTCCAACTCTTCTCCCTTGTTTCTCCCTTTCTCCTCCACTGTTCTTCCCTTCTCTTGCTGCCCCTCCTACCTTTTTATTTTTTATTTCAAGATAGGGTCTCACTAAGTTGCTGAGGCTGGCTTTGAACTTGCAATTTTCCTGCCTCGGCCTCCTGAGCTGCTGATATTATAGGCATGTACCACTGTGCTTAGCTCTTTGAACGTTTTTGAAGGAATTCTTTTAAAGATAAATGCCTAGAAGTAAAATTGTTGGGTTATGAAACAAAGATTTATAAGCTTTTTTACATGCGTATTTTGAATGCAGTATGGTTTTCTCATTTCTGAGCCTGGCTTCTTGAGTTTTAAGTAATAAATTTTTAAACCTCTATTTTTGAAACTTCTCTCTACATGTAGTGTTTTTCTTCACAAAATATATCAAATACAAATTCACAGGTTTAATACTTTAGAAAAAGATTGATAAAAGGGAACATAAAGGGCATTTTAAAAGAAACTTAAATGTGATGGAAACCTTATAACGCCTAATTGATAAGTGACATAAGGTTGGTCACCAATAATGCTTTTTTCTCATCTTTATGTGCTTAACTCCAAACTAGCCCCTATTTAGCACTTAGGTGCTTGTTGAATAAATGAAGTGATAGCTAGAAATACATTTCTGCTTTCTCACCATAAACTACTTAACTGATTAGAATTTGGAATCACTTTCAAAACTGAGATCACTTTTCAGCCAATTAATTGAAAGGGGAAAAAACAAAGTTTGGTTTGCATCTGACAGTGCCAGCTGCCTTGAATTTTTTTTTTTTTTTTTGTATACCCTAGCCATCTATGGTGTCCTGAGCTCTCTTAGCAAACAGGCTTCTTCTAACCTATCTTTATGACTTCAGTTCGGTAACTTTTCTTTTCTAGCCTGGCCTTGTCTTCGTGTTGGAGATCCATCCTCCTGTCTTTGCCAGGATTTTCAGTAGACATCCCAAATTAAATAAGATTCATTGTTCTCCCTGTATCAATGTGATATTTAAGCAGGATATTCAGATACCTGCCTGACAGCTCCCACCACCGAATTCCTTATCATAGTCTCTGTACAAATATAATCAGTAAGCAGCATTGTATAAGGTGAGAATATGAGTGTGCTTAGGAGTGTGAGCTTTAGAATCAACAAATTTTAGTTCAGATCCATTTCCTGTATGTTGTATAAAACAGACTATGTAACCTTTTTGAGCATCTTCTCAAAACAGCTATACATGATACATGGTAGGTATGCAAATATTGGTTCTTCTTTTCCCATCCTCCTTTATTTTTGGACACACTTGGACTGTCTCATAGATGATGATACCTTAACAGTTCTCTTGTTTTTTGTCTGATGATTATATTGCTATATGAATGATAGAGACTGTATGTTAATTTTTAAATAAATATGGTAATTTAAATACCAATGAGTTTTTCCTCAGAAGCTGTATTAATTTGTATGCATATTTGATTTTTTTTTTAAATACAGGCAGTTTCTTACTGCTAAAATGATAAAGAAGTGCTGAAATATTTAAATTTTTGTTTTAGTTCCTCATTGGTTTATATAGCTTCAGTGATGACTATTTTATTTCTCATTGTTTTTCACTTAGTGTTTATTCTCCAAGAGAAATTTTTAATAATGTTGGTAAATAAAATAATGAAATTTAAAATCACAGCCTAAATGATCTCTTTTCACAAAATTCCTATGTAAATAGGGATGTTAAGCATTTCTCCTGTTTAATATTTATAGAAAAATTCTACCCCTTTCTATTTAGAGTATCTGGTCTTATATCCAGCATTTCATATATCTGTTGTACCATTGTGTCTAGTTTTGGAAAACTGAAAATTATGAATTTTTAGGATATGCTACCAGGTAGGGCTATTTACCTTGGGGAAAAAAGACTTGACAAGGGAGATGGGCAGTACTGGGAATTGAATTGAGGGCTTCAAGCACACTAGGCAAGCACTCTACGACAGAATCTCTGTAGGCTTGCTTCTTTGCAGCAGCTAGTTAATATCCACTGGGTCCATAATTGCATATTGATATTAATTAAAAATGAATGGAAATGTGATTCAGAAGAAGATTGATAAAGCTTAGGAATCCCTGAAATGTACTTCAGAATAACTTCTTAATATCTCCAGTGAGTGTATGTCTACAAGTAAACAAAACACAAGAATTTAAGAAGCTAGATAGATATACGCTTCTTTTGTCAGGATTTTATCTTTATAACTTTCTTGGTTAGATTTAAATCTTCTTGGTTACATTTAAATCTTTGAGGGAAGAAGTATTAATGTGTGGTTAGATCTCATGGGAGCACTTGATTAAGGTGTTGACCTTTTAATAATGGGCTGTTGGTCTTATTGACTAAATGAAGAAATTTTGAATTCCTATATTACATCACAGATTAATGGAACTTTATAATGGCATTTAAAGTTTCTTGCCTGTTTTCTCCATATGAACCGTAGAATTATTTGAAGTTCTCTAAAATCTCAAAAGAGATTTGATTTTATATTGCATTAAATATTGACAGTCCCACTTATTGCCACATTTAGTCCAGGAACATGGTGTTTGTTTCTATTCAAATCATTTTTTTCGTTCTTTGATAAAGTCCTATAATTTTTTCTATTACAAGTTTTGCAAATTTCTTAATGTTTTTACCTCAAAATCCATGAAGTTTTTTTCTTTGTTATTTTTAATATGATATTTTTCTGTTGTATTTTCTAAGTGTTATTTTTTAAGGTAGGAAACTTCATGATTTTTACTTACTAGCCAAATTGTTTAGTCCCAACAGTTTTGTATTCTCTTTGGATTGTAAATATTTTTGTAGAACAAGGGAATTGACCTCTGAATTTACTTTTTTTTTTTTTTTTTTTTAAAAGCTCTTTTCACTTATGGATATGAAACCTCCCATCTCTAGAGCCAAGATGATTCTCATTACTAAAGCTGCTATAAAAGCTATTAAGGTAAGAATAAAATAAATATATTTAATATAAAAGTGTTTTTGAAATTTTGAAAATGTTATTCATCTTCATCAAAGGACACTAATATGCTTTTGCTGAAGGTTCATGATAATACTGTGTGCCTTTGAATTGTATGTTATTTCAGGTTTTTTTTTCTTTATTTCATTTTAATCCTTGTTATAAACCAGCAGCTATTAGCTTCTTTCTTATAAGAAAGGAAAAAAAAAATCAGGCTCCATGAATTTAAATGGTATACCCAAGATCACACTTAAATGACTCATTTTATAGAAACTGCATTGCTTAGTTCTAATTCCATTGTTGTTGTTGTTCCTTTTATAAGATTGCCTAATATCCTGCTTTATGAAAGTTTATTGATTAAAAATCCAATAGAAGGCTGTGCATGGTGATACTTGCCTGTAATCCCAGCGGTTTGGGAGGCTGAGACAGGAGGATCACAAGTTCAAAGCCAGCCTCACCAGTTAGTGAAGCCCTGAGCAACTTAGCAAAACCCTGTCTCAAAATAAAAAGGGGTAAAGATGAGCTCAGTAGTTAATTACTTCTGGATTCAATCCCTACCCCCTCCCCCGAAAAAATCCAATGGAAGGACCTTCTGTTTAGGGTTAATTTTGTAGTTTTTGTTTTAGCTAATTCCTTTCTAATTTGTTATTTATGATTTTTTCCCCATTTTTTGCTTTCGGATTATTTCTCATGTTTTCTTTGGTATTATCTTGATAATTTTTTAATTGTATACATTTCAAGGTTTTTTTCTATAAATATTAAGTATTTTTGAAAACTATAGGAAATGTAGAAAGTATTAAACTTGCCAATAATTTTTTTTATTCTTTTCAGCTTTATAAGCATGTAGTTCAAATAGTAGAAAAGTTCATCAAAAAGGTAACTATTTCATTATAACTCATTTTATTTATGATGCATATTTGTAATTTACATTGTAAATTGTGATTTGAATGTTTTCTTCTAAAGCCACTGTATTTGAAAGTAGCCTTTAGATGTTCTTTTTATTCACTAGAAGTTTAAAAAATGTTTATAGCAGCATCTCATTAAGCATTTACTGTGAACTGGGCACTCAAGTTTTTTGTCGTGTCTCACAGCAAAATTTTCTGTCTTTGGGCCACGAGCCTTATATGCCTGATGGGCCTGCTTTACCCTTTGTCCATCTACTCTGTTGACATTATCTCACCTTCAAGTATTTCAGATGAAATTACTTTGATGTTTTCCCAGTTTTTCCTATTTTCATCATGATTAAGGCTTTTTTAATTTGTTCTGCATTTATATGTTGTCTTCTAACTTGTGAGGTTAAATTAGCACACTTGTCTCTGGAAGACCTAGAATAGTCTTGGACAACTTTATCCTATCCTCTTGACCTGGAGCTGTGCAATGTAGTACATACTAATAAATGTTTTTATCAGTGGGAACTTTTTATAGCAGCAGATAGCCACTGTGTCCTGATTACTGGAATGTTTGCATTTGAATATATTTACATTTTGTTTATGTACATGAACATTTATAAGAGAAAAGTGGAGACAGATGTTGGTTGTTAACCTACTTTTCCACTGAGTTTTTCCTAAACATCTGCAAAATACTTCTTTGCATAATTGTTATCATGATTTACTCAGCCAGTTCCCTGTATCTGGATATTTAGATATTTCTGACTTTTTACTTTTTATAGAAAATGCTTTGATAACTAGCCTTGTGGGAAAAATATGTACATATCTCTTTTCCATAGTATAAATTCCTAGATGAGTAATTGTTGAATGATAGGCTTTGCTTTTATTACTAATTGTCTTCCATAAGGATACCTTACGCCACTACTACTAGAAATGTGTATGGTGCCTATTTCTCTATTTTGGGGGGAGGGATGTGTTAATTTTGTATATCAAAAATTACCTTTAAACTTTTATTCCTCTAACTTTGTACTTAAGTAGAATTAAAATTGATTTATTCTTAAAGTTATTTTAGGGCTGGGGATATAGCCCAATTGGTAGAATGCTTGCCTCAAATGCACAAGGCCCTGGGTTCAGTCCCCAGCATCATGGGGAGAAAAAAATTAAAGTTGTTTTTTTTTTTTTTGATAATTTTAAAAGGTTGGTTTGGAATAGAGATGTTCTTAGGTGAATTTATATGAAAGTGGCTTAGAGTTTAATAAAGTAATATCAATTCTGAGAAATTGGAGGAGGGAAAGGAATCAGACACATCTAAAATCTTGGGTCTGAAGTATCTAAGAATGGTATTCTCTAGGGACTGGTGGGAAATTTGACAAGTTAGCTAATAAGATGGCTGAAACATTTGAGTAGTTTCTAAACAGTGGTTGGATGAATATGTAAGGTTGCATAATATGAAAGTAATGAGTGATTGTGAGTTTGATTTTCTTGTATTGACTTTACATTCTTACCCTTGCAGTGTAAACCAGAGTACAAGGTTCCAGGATTATATGTAATTGACTCAATTGTGCGACAGTCTCGTCATCAGTTTGGAACTGATAAAGATGTTTTTGGGCCAAGATTCTCTAAAAACATAACTGCCACATTCCAATATTTATATCTTTGTCCATCTGAAGATAAGGTATAGTTAATAATTCTTAAATTAAAAACTTGGATTCTTGTTGGATTTGTTATTTTTATGTTTATTTAATTGTGTGTTAGATATTTAAAGCCTACTAGATAAAATTTCCATGTAGTGATCTTTGTAAGTTTGAAGCCAAACCCCAGTGTTTTCTGCAGTGGTCATTTCATATTTGTTTTCTTGTGAAATTCTTCAGGAATGTAGTATTGTTGAAATATGAAAGGAACCAAATTTACAGAACAAATGATTGCTGGAGAAAGAGGGGAAAAGGGAGTTGCTAATTAACAGGTCTAATTTTTTTAGCTAAGCTCAAGTAAATTCTAGAGATTTGTTGAATAGCATGGTACCTTAAAAATTTGTTAGGAGAATAGATCTTGTATTAAAAGTGTTCCTTACCCCAATAAAATAAACTTCAAAAAAATATGCTCTAGAAGCATAATCTTGCTTTAAAAAAAAATACTGCTGGGAAGATAGGCTTTGTATAGTTGTGATGAAGAAATTCTGTAATAAAAGAAGTGTTTATCTCAGATTACTGCTTAGAAGGAAAGGGCCAATAGTTAATAGTCTTTCCCAGCATATAGAAGTGCTATAGTAGCTGGTGTTTATTTATTAGCAATTAGATAATAGTATTTGGTTCCTTTTACATATATAGTTGGTTTTACAATTTATTGTTGAAAAACATTTACAGATACAATAAGTGGATAATAAATTGGTGGAAGAAATTACACTGGTAAACATACTCAGTAATGAAGAATGGAGATATTTATAATAAATCACATATAAATTTGGGTGTGAAAATATTGTTTTTATTCTTTTTTTCTTTTGAGAGAGAAAGGAAAAAGACAACCGATTTACTACTTTGCTAGTAAAGTAGAAACACAGGGGACTCTTGTCCCAGAGGCTGTGATTCTGCCTCTTAAAAGAGGGGTGCTCTTGGGGAGTTGGGGGTTGTATTAAATAATAAAAACAGGAATGATTCCTTGAGTGGAAGATAAAAATTGTGCTTATGAATAAAACATCTGGATCTCCTTCAGTTTACTTGGTCACAGAAGAGTTTACTTCTCATTTATAGACCATTTTGTAAAATATTTAATTATTTTAACTGTTATTCTAAAGAAATTTCTTTTTTATTTACTTCTCTTGTTTTCGGTCCATGGTGGAATTTCTTTGTAACTATAAATAAAACACATTTAAGGGTTGGGACTGTAGTTCAGTGGTAGAGCGCTTGCCTAACATGTAGTGAGGCACTGGGTTCAATCCTAAGCATCACATAAAAATAAAAGCATTCTATTTACAACTACAAAAATAAAAAATAAAAAAAGAAAGATTAAACAGCAACAACAACCCAAAAAAAGGTGAAAACCTCAAATAATATTTTTTTTAATAATCCCTGTCTCAATATTCTGTCTTCCTAGATTATCCCCACCAAAGAAAAGGCCTGATTAATGTAGTTTAATTGAATTATAATTGATGGGGGGGTTCCTGCTTATGAAACAGACTTAGCAATGGAAATGTTAGCCCTAGGTGGTCTTTCTCCTTTTTTGTAAAAAAGTAATATAACAAATTATTTATGCAAATATTTATCACATTCATGTTTTCTCATACATTACAGAGTAAAATAGTTCGTGTGCTGAACCTTTGGCAGAAAAATGGAGTGTTCAAAATTGAAATTATCCAGCCTCTTTTGGACATGGCAGCTGGAACCAGTAATGCTGCCCCTGTAGCAGAAAATGTTACCAACAATGAAGGTAGAGTCATATGTGTCTGTGTACTTAAATAATGTTATAACTGCCTATATTGGTAAAATTTTTCCATTAAGTGGAAACTTAAGTTTACATCTTAGAAGGTAGTTTTTTTCCTTTTTCCATAATTCTATTCCTAATGAAAATATCCTTTTGTTACTTGTTACAGTATAAACCTCAGTTTTATTTTCTCAAAGAACCATAAAGGAGTTTAAAAAGAGAAAATTGTAAGGTGACTGTACCGAGAATTGAACTCAGGCATTTGACCACTGAGCCAACATCCCTTACCTAACCCCCACCTTTTCCAATTTACATACAGGGTCTCACTGAGTTGCTTAGCGCCTCGCTTTTCCTGAGGCTGGCTTTGATCTCAGGATCCTCCTGCCTCAGCCTCTCAAGCTGCCTGTGCCACTGAACCCAGCAATTTTTTTTTTTTTTTTGAGTCAGGATCTCATTAAATTGCTGTGGCTAGCCTCAAGCTTGGTGATCCCTGCCTCAGCCTCCTATGTTGCTGGAATTATAGGCATGCATTACTGCACCTGACTGTAAGTTAGCATTTTCTTAGGTTTTAATTTCCCCCTTCCCTTTTTTTTAAGGCTCACCTCCACCTCCAGTCAAAGTTTCTTCTGAACCCCCACAAACCACCCCAAACTCCATACCTGCAGTACCACAGTTGCCCAGCTCTGATGCTTTTGCTGCTGTGGCTCAACTGTTTCAGACAACTCAAGGCCAACAGGTAAGCTACCCATTCAACGACTGAATTGTTGCATGGTTAGGTCGTGTCATCGGTTCTTGTTTTTCCGTTCTTCATTCATAAGCACATTGAAGGGAGGAAATAAGTCTGCTTTTCGACTAGAGAGGCCCTCACTAGGGAGATAATTACATATGATAATAAGAAAAATACAAATTTGAAAAACAAGGTAATGACAATACATCTTTGAAAACAACTTTAGAACTCCTAAGTGGCCAGTGTTCTTGCTCACAATCCTAGTAGCATTTCTGATTGATTTAAAAATTGATTGGAGAGAATTTTTCCACATTTTAGAAAAACTCATTTTACCTTGTTCACAATTAAGTGTATTTCTCTTTTCTTTTACCTTCATTTTGTATCATTGAGATTGTCAGTAAACATTTTTAACTTTAAGCAGTGCACACTGTAATATCTCCATTCATAAACTTAACCAATAGAAAAAGATGGATTTTTTTTTTAAGTAAATTAACTTTTGTACTCTGATTATACTTTGTTGTGTGGTTTATCAGTTTTCCCATTCTTTAAGCTTCAGCAGATCCTTCAGACTTTTCAACAACCTCCAAAACCACAGTCTCCCGCTCTTGACAATGCTGTGATGGCTCAGGTTCAGGCTATCACCGCTCAGTTAAAGACAGCTCCTACACAACCACCTGAACAAAAAGCTGCTTTCCCCCCACCTGAACAAAAAACTGCATTTGACAAGGTACGCTTCTCTCACAGCACCCACCTCATTGTCTGTATCACTCAGCTTGGATTGTGGGAGTTATCCTTCTGTAGCTTTGCTATGGGTTGTTCCTTTTATTGTTTGTGATTTGAGACATTTTCTGCCTACTCAACATCAAAATGTTGATTATTTTTCCTGGTTATAAATATAAGATGTGCTGGGGGCTGGGGATGTGGCTCAAGCGGTAGCGCGCTCACCTGGCATGCGTGCGGCCCGGGTTCGATCCTCAGCACAACATACAAACAAAGATGTTGTGTCCGCCGAAAACTAAAAAATAAATATTTAAAAAAAAAAATAATTAAAAATAAATAAATAAATATAAGATGTGCTCATTGCAAAAGTTTTCATGGAATGAAGGAAATTGAACCCAAGAAAATTCTTCATTAAACTGCATCCTCAGAAACTACTACTGTAAAGTTTTGCTATATATCTTTTCAGAAGGAATTTCCTGTGGATATATACTTTTCATTAACTGTTCATAATAACATACCTGCTTATTTTGATCTTACTCTCGTCTCACTTTATTGTTGATGTTACTGCTAGTGGGTTTAAATTTACAGTTTTAAATAAATGCTGTTTAGTATATAGGATTCCATTAACTGGACCGGTCAGTTGAGCCATTCTCCTACATATATAGACTTCAAATTACTGTGTTTGTTGTTTATAGACCCTAGTTACCATATCTATAATGTGAGGGTTTTGGTTGGTTCAGTGTCTTTCAGCTGCTGTATTGGACCTTATGGTTCCTTAAGTACATCTAAGAAGCTTTGACTAAGGACATGGGTATGCTGAACATGGACATTTCAGAGATTCCTGGGAAGTTTAACCCACAGAGCTCCACTGTTGTCTGTTTTAATTGGGTGTATGGCTATGTGAAATTTCATTTTACTTGAAAAGTTTTTGTTGCAAAACACAAAAGTTTGAAAATCATGGAACTAAATGATATCTTTGGTTTCATAATCTCTAAAACTTCTGATTCTTTCCAACATTCTAATTATAAGATAATTATAAGCTTTATTGCCAGTGTTTCCAATTAAGAATCCATGTAGTGAATGCTGGTTTTCATTGTATCATAGTAATTTATGAATGACTACTAATTAAAAGGTTGGATGCATTCTTTTTAAGAAAAAAGGAATATGTGCTTGTTAGAGAAAACAAATAATATTGAAATTATAAAATATAAAGGGAAGCAATTCCATACTAGTTTGAACATATTTGTTGTATTCTTTCATATCCAGTTTAAGGCACAATGTAAATTCTTACATTGGTAGTTTTATTAGTTTTTTATTCTGTGTTTTGATTCAGAAAACTCCATACCTGCACTTTAAAAGAATTTATTCTTCTAGTAGCTTTTATTTTTTTTGTCTCTATTTCCTCTTCAAATCTAGTTGAATCTTACATATGATAATTTTTTTGAATTGCCAGTTCTCCCTCAGTACTTTTTTAATGCACTAAAATTTCCGTCTTTCTTTGTCTAGTTTAACAGTGTTCTATCCCACTAATATATTTATTTCTGCTTCATAATCAGTTGTAACATTTTTTAGAGAGATTTTTTTTTTTTTTTTTTTTTTTTGCGAGAGAGAATTTTTTTTTTTTTTAATATTTTTCGGTTTTGGCGGACACAACATCATTTTTGTTTGTATGTGGTGCTGAGGATCGAACCCGGGCTGCATGCATACCAGGAGAGCGCGCTACGGCTTAAGCCACATCCCCAGCCCCAGTTGTAACATCTTAACATGTAAGCTAGGGATTGACCCCAGGACCTTGCCCATGCTAAGCAAACACTTTACCACTGAGCTACATCCGCAGCATGTAATATGCCATGTTTTATTTCCAGGTGTTCCCCCTACTTTCTCAAACTTTCTTTGGCTATTCATGGTCATATGTATTAGTATTCTCCAGAGAGACAACCAGTGATTATATGAATTGATGGAAAGAGATTTATCTTAAGGAATTGACTCACGCACTTAGGGCCAGAAAATTTGAATTGTCATGCAAGTCAGCAGGCTGGAAATTCAGATTAGAGTTATCATTGCAGACCCGAGTCTGAATTCTGAAAGCCTGCAGACTGGAAACTCTGGCAAGGTTTCTGTGTTGCAGTCTTGAGAATTCCTTCTTCGGGAAACCCCAGTTTTTATTCTCAAGATCTTTATCTGTTTGGTTAAGGCCTACTCCTTAGGAAGGGTAGTCTGCTTTACTCTATATGATTTTAGTGGTGATCTCCTCTAAAAAATACCTTCATCTGGATTATAGTTTGACCTAACTAGTTTAATGATACTTTCTTCATGTGACAGAAAAACTGTTGATTTTATTTTAGCTTATAAATGGTCACAGTATTAAATGCTTTAGTTTTCTAGTTGGTTCTCTTGGGTTTTCTAAGTAGCTACTAAATTTGACTTTTTCTCTCCAGTATCCATGCCTTTTTCTTTTTCTGCCAGTAACTAGGCCTTCCATAAAAATATTAAGTAAAGACCCTGTTAGTAGGTGTTCTTATAATTTGACTTATAATTCCTCCAGTGTATTTTACCTTAAGTGGGTTGGCTAGTGTTTGTTACATCAAATTTATAAAAAGGAATTCTGTGTTTTTTCATAAAATCGTCTATTTTTAGATAGTCCACTGAGAATTTGTCAATTTCAGTGTTTTGTGGAGCTTCAGTTAATTGCATAATTCTTTTGTCAGAGCAACATGTATAGATCTTAAAACTTTAAAGAAATATCGATCTGTGATAAAATGCAAAGATCGTAAGTTTTGTTTTTGTTAAGAGACTTAAAATCAGAATTTTAACTTTGGCTCCTATCACTATCCTGATGTGGAATTAGATAAATGTTCAGTATTTACTAGAGTAAATTATTGATGGCAATAACTATATTACTGCCACAGGAGTTAAATAAACTAATATGTGTAAAACAGCAAGGTACCTGGGCTTAGAGTTTATGTTTAGAAAATATGAAATGTTTGTTTATAATAAGAACTTTTGATCCTCTGATGTGTGGGGGGGCACAAGTTAGCTCTGTCCCAAACACTTTATACTTGGTTTAGTCCTCCATACTGTATTGTTTAAAAAGGGGCCTTCCTTCCTTTCCTAATTTAGGAATCTGTTGTTCAATGAAGTAGAACCACAGTATATAGGCAGAACTATCACAGAACATTTGGAGTTTTGACTTTGAAATCCATGAGTAGAATGGACACATCTTGAAGGAAAAATTTGCTTGTTGTAAGCCAAAAACTGAAGGCTTTGAAGGCCCAGTGTCTACATCCTGATTTTACCATTCATTGACACAATAATCTTGGTTATGTTTCTTAATTACCTGAGGTTTAGTTTCCTTATCTATAAAAAGAACAAACCAGATCTCATTGCAGGCTGTTGTTGTTGTTGGGGGATGGTATTGGGATTGAACTCAGGGACACTTAACCACTGAGCCACATCCCCAGTCCTTTTTTGTATTTTATTTAGAGACAAGGTCTCACTGAATTTCTTAGGGCCTCAGCCTCCCAAGCCCCTGGGATTATAGGTGTGTACCACTGCGCCCACCTATTCTGATTATTTTTAATGGAAATTTATGGTAAGCTCTGAAGTTTGAAAAAGAAGCTAGTGAATAGGTGGTGAGACAACTCTGTGTCTGTGTCCTGTGCCATTTTCTTTTTCATATTAGTGTATTCCTTTTTTTTTTTTTTTTTTTGACATTTTAACGATAAGAATTTATTTTCATAGATATTGAAAAACTAATGAACTGAACAATTATCATATTAGTATAATCTTGAACAAGCAATATAGGGATATTTCACTGTGAGTGTTCATAGTGATTGGATAAGTTATCTTATACATTGACATTTGACTAAGAATGTACACTCATTTTTATGTACACAAAGTTCCAGAGGTTTTTAGTCTTAAATAAATGAATAATTTAGGAAAATAAGTACACTGCTCAGTTAATTATGAAATTAAGCAAATAGAAAATGGTCAGAAAATTTTGCGTTTATAATTGGAGAAGGAAAGCTGAATAAAAAATTCTGTCTTTTTCAAAATGTTATTTGTGTAAAAATTGTCTTTCAACCAAGATCCTCTGGGACACTTGCAAAATTAGATTATATCCAACACTGTGGTGCGGTTAATGATGATGGTAAACATCTGTTGTTTAGACTGAATTCTAGTCTAAATTTTAAAATGGAATATTGGCATACCTATTCCAGAAGCTGCTTGATAGATTTGATTATGATGATGAGCCAGAAGCTGTGGAAGAATCAAAGAAAGAAGATGCTGCCGTCACCACTGCAGTACCTGCTCCTGCTGCACCTCCTGCATCTTCTGTAGCCACACCTGCTACTGCTGCTGCTGCACCCGCTGCTGCTGCACCCACTGCCACCTCACCACCTCCCCCACAGACAACATTGTGAGTTTCTAAGTTGGTAATAGTTGTGAAGTATAATCTGAGTAACATTTAGCCACCACCACAACCCCCAACTTTTTTTTTTTATGGAGTGATTATTTTGTAAAATTGGAGCATTATGGATTTTCTTTTGAACAGAAGGTATCCTGTTAGATTTCGAATTTAAAAATGGCTTTTGTGTTAGAAATAGTACTGAGAATATAGTACTAATGACTTTTGGACAACATTTAATATGTTTTTATAACATAGATGTGTCTGAGAATCTTAAGTGCTTCTAAATGAGTTAAAAGATTCTTCACCTTTTTTTTTTTTTTTTTTTAGTGGATTTCCTGGAGATGGCATGCAGCAGCCAGCTTATACACAGCATCCAAATATGGATCAGTTTCCACCTCGAATGATGGGAATGCAGCAAGATCCAGTACACCATCAGGTGTGGGCATTTTTCTTGCAACTGAGTTTTAATAACTCAAGATCTGTTCCTTAAAGAATGTAGTTTGCACTTCACAGACCACTGTTAACTTGTGTGATTAAGTAATACAGCAGCTCCAATTAATAACTGTTAAGCATAAGACTGTTATAATTTTAGTTAAAATAGTTTAGAGAGACATTACAGTTCTATTTAAAAAAACTCCCTTATTTAATTACACAGCTCTTTCCCATTTTTCTGCATGTTGTACAGTTACATACTATAGAGCCTTCAACTCTCAGTGTTTAGAAATATAGTTTGAAATCGGAAATTAAAGGAGCATACATAGCATACTGGAGATTTACAGGAAGTTAGAGATTCGTTCATTGAATCTGATTCAGTAAGTCCTCTAATTCAGTTTCTTAAACTTGGCTATGCATCTGAATTATTCGAGCAAGGAGAGGGCATGTTAAAAATACAGAGCATGGTTGGGCTCACTGGCAAATGCCTATAATCCCAGTGGCTCGAAAGGCTAAGGAAGGAAGATCTTGAGTTTAGAGCCAACCTTGGCAATTTAGTGAGGCCCTAAGCAACGCATTGAGACCCTGTTTCTAAATAAAATACAAAAAAGGGTTGAGGATGTAGCTCAGTGGTTGAGTGCCCTTGGGTTCATTCCCCAATACAAAATATATATATGTGCCACACACACATACACGCACACACACAGTATATCCCTTCAGTACTACAATCATTCTAGAGAATCTTGGTTTTTGATTTTCTTCTTTTCAATGCTACAGTGATTGTCTTGTTGGATTCTCTTGTACAAGCCAGCTCTGGGAAATAATACTTTATGTAGTCTTTTTAGAAAAGACTTTAAGACATCTCTTTACCCTATATTCATTCTCTTAATATGTATTTATTTCAGTTTCTTCTTCATATTTTATAATATGAAGTTAATTTTAGTGACTTGTTGGTGATGTTTTGGAAAGTATTTTAAAAACCTGTTTAAAATATGAATAAAACTTATGAATTACTGTATTTCCAGCAATTACTGATAAGTTTATAATAATTTGAAAGATTTTGTGACATTAGTATATTATACTTGTTTTGTTAGTGCTTGAATTGTACATGCAGAAATAATGTTAAGTTGTGGTTTGCTAAGTTGGTATTATGAATAAAACGAAAAATTTTTAAATCATTATTTTATTTGAAACTCTGAGTATGTTGAAATTACTCTCTTAGTAAATTTAAAAGGAAGTAAACCTAGAAATCACTCTCCCAAAAGGCTAACTTGCCATGAAAGAAGTTGAAAGAAGCAATTCACAGTAGAGTGCGTTTGACTTTAAGTTCAGCCTATCATAGTGCTTCCTTATGTAAATAAAGCTATGTCTTCAAATGTGTAAAGTTAAACTAGTATATTCATAATTTCGAAATGATTTGTAGGATTTTTAATCTAATACTTGAGTGTGTAACAATATTTCCGGGAAAGATTATACTATTGAAATTGTTAAACATTGTTGAATGTCATTGTAGCTTTTCCTTGATTGATGTTTATAGAAGGTATTTTAGTTTTATATAAAGTAACTAAGCATTTTCCAAATTGTTTTTGATAGCTTTTACTTAAAATCTAATCTAATTAAAAATTAAAGGTTCCACTTCCTCCTAATGGACAAATGCCAGGATATGGACTTCTTCCTACACCTCCATTTCCTCCCATGGCTCAGCCTGTGATTCCTCCAACTCCACCAGTACAGCAGACTTTCCAACCTCCTTTTCAGGCACAAAATGAACCACTTACACAGAAGCCACATCAGCAGGTAAAATTTTATTAGATGGATAATTATAGTTTTGGTTGACAGATTTTTTTTTTAACTTTATGTTTTTTAATTCTAATTTGTTATATATGACAATGCATTTCAGTTCATATTACACACATATATAGACAGTTTTTCATATCTCTGGTTGTACACAGAGTCACAAGTTGCCTTGATTTTTATGGACGTTTCTGATTTTCTGTTTGCCATCTTTGTTTTTTAATATGAAGAAGGAAAAAAAAAACAACACTGTGGGCATATACTAAACCCTCACTATCTGTGCTCCACGTTTTTCACAGGGAAAGTGGACATATAATACTTCCAGTTTCCACAGGGATCTGTGAGGTTTGAGATAGAGTATAGAAGACATAATCAATGCCTAGTTTACTGTCTTAAAGTGTTATATAATGTCCAGAAATAGAGAATTGCCAAAATATGACATTTTTGTTTTGTTGTTTTAAGTGATGACCATTTGTTATTAGAAATTTGGTCCCAAGTAACTAAAAGATGAAGACATAATCTCTTTGGAGCAAGAGTTTTTTAATTTAGTATTTGTTAGATTTTGGCCTCTAGAATTTGCACAGTTTCTTATTTTATGATGGTTTTGTTTTTAAGGAAATGGAAGTGGAACAGCCTTGTATTCCAGAAGTTAAGCGGCATATGTCTGATAGCAGAAAGTCAAGATCTAGGTCAGCATCCAGGTAATTTAGAGAAAATGTCTTACCAATCCTATATGTCTTAGAAGACATATAGGTGAAAAACAAATAAGGTTATTTTAATGAATAGCACTTTATATTCATACATGGGGTAAAGGAGAAACACAAATACTGATCTTAAAAAGAAAAATCTAAGGTCTGTCATCTTACCCATGTTTTCTTCAAGTTGATCTGGTGTCTATTTGTATAGAATAACATGGTATTAGAAAAAGAATATACTCAAAGTTCCTTTACAACTTTTATCAACCAACAAAAGTGAGAAAGTAAAGCCTTCTCGGATTAAGTATTTAATTGCTGCAGAAAAGAAGACTTTCCTAATTAAAGTAGCAGTTCCTTAACCATGAAAATTTACTTCTTACATTATAATTTAGTTTCAGAGGAACTGATGATGATAGATACCCTTATAGGCTGATAACCTTTCTTATTTAAATTATATGCATGCCCTCTCTATCCCCAGGCATACTAAAGGTCTTTAAAATGAGTTCCTGACTAATCTTAAATATCCAAAACATTAAGTTTCCTAGTTGTTTTTTTTCCCCTCTAACTTAATATGAGTATGTATTTTCTATTTTTTTCTCCATGTACTATCCATCCTCCTAATGAAAATATTAGGTCACCAAAAAGGAGACGATCTAGATCTGGTTCTAGATCTCGAAGGTCTCGTCATCGACGTTCCCGATCACGGTCCAGGGATAGACGCCGACATTCTCCTCGATCTCGATCCCAAGAAAGGCGTGATCGAGAAAAAGAGAGGGAACGGAGACAAAAAGGCCTGCCTCAAATCAAACCAGAAACTGCAAGTGGTAAATAACCCTTCATATTCAAACTTCCTGCATTATTTTTTATATAGTTGGTTTAACATGTTTTATAACCGTGAGCAGAGCCATAAATGAAATATTATCACTATGTTGTTTTATTCCAAATATTGCTTTCTTGTGTCTTGTTTGAATTTAACCATTTACAGGATATATTAACTTGCATTATTACCTGAATCTCATCAGATATCTTTAGAATATGTTTAATAAGGTATGCTAGATATATTCTTGTTATAAATCAGTAACTATTATAAAGATTTTAATTCATAATAATTTCTGGGGCATATAAAATTTCTGACTCTATAAAGCTTATTGCCTAGAATACAGCATAAAAGAAAAACTGTATACACTCAAGAGTTGGAAAAGGATATCTCCATGTAGTGAATAAAAGCACTGAGTTAGTTTTTAAATGAAGAGACTTAGACTCAAGTCCTGGTTCCACTGTTTATTGGCAAGGTGACTGGGCAAATTATTGCTTCTTTGACCTCAGACTTCATTGAGATCTTTGGTTTAAGTACAAAAAGACCAGTTTTTCTAACTCTTAAGTATGCCTTTAACTATTCTGGTTCCATTTCTAGAAGTGCTAATACAATTTTCTAAATTTAAAAAATTTTGTATAGGAATTTTCTGTGTTAAACTTTGGGTATCATAGATGTGCTCATATATTTTATGTAACTTTTTAAAAATGTAACATGAAGTTTGCTTATTAAATGTGAATATTTTTACAGTCATTCTTTTATTTTCAGTTTGCAGTACTACACTCTGGGTGGGACAGCTGGACAAAAGGACTACTCAACAGGACGTTGCCAGTCTACTAGAAGAGTTTGGTCCCATTGAATCAATTAATGTGAGTATTTATTTAATTATTTAATGATAGTGGAGCAGATGTGAGTAATATCATTTTACAAAATTAAGGACTTGAGATTTGTGTTATAATTTCCATAGACTTGTAGAAGTCTATGGACTTGTGGCTACAAGTTTAGGTGTTCTGAGTCTGTGCTCAGCACTCTGCATTTAATATTTCTTAGACTGTGAAGTTTAATTTTAAAATTTTTGCTGTGAAAGTCTACTTATGGCAAGGGACTTTGGCCATGGTTTATTCTGCATTGGCTGTTGGTGTGAGGAGTGGGGCTGTTGAACCTGGTTATTACATCTTGTTGCTTTTTTTTTTTTTTGGTAATAAAATATTTTGGAGCAGATGATTCCTCCCAGGGGCTGTGCCTATATTGTTATGGTTCATAGGCAAGATGCTTATCGTGCCCTGCAGAAACTGAGCCGTGGAAACTATAAAGTAAATCAAAAATCCATAAAGGTACAGTTTTATAATTATTTTTTATTTTAATGTGGAATTGATATGTTGCTTTTTAAAAACTAATTTGGGCTTAGTTATGACTTGAGGCATTTCAGATATATCCTTTTAAAATTCTTAACAAAATCTATAATGTTTATTAAAACATAATTTTAAATGTTCAGTGCATAGTAGGAATTGAAGGGGGGAGGTGCTGGGTATAGAACCCAGGGCCTCACAGAAGTATATCTATAGACTATCCCCTTGTTTAAGATAGATAGTGTCATCAAATATAATTGATTGATGCCTTAAATAAAATGTGTTTTAGCATATTTTTTTGAGATTTATTACTATCTCAAAATGAACTGTGAAAAATGATTATTAATGATATAGAAAATGATTCAGGTACAAAGCCTTTCATATCCTCCCCGCCCCCCCACCCCGAGAAATCAAAGACATTGTTTCATCAATGTCCTAACGTTTTTATTTGTTTCAGTTTGTTTTGTTTTTCAGTACTGGGCATGGACCCAGTGCGCTCTACCACTGACCTGCATCCCCACCCCTTTTATTTTTTTAGACAGGATTGTTCTAAGTTGCCCAGGCTGGCCTGGCACTTAAGAGTCCTCCTTTGTCATCCTCCTGAGTAGCTGGGATTACAGACATGTCCATTCTATCTGGCTCCTAAAGTCCTGTTTTAGTTTTATTATAAAAAAGATTTTTTGTCTAATGTTGATTAATTGCCAGGATTCCATAGACTTTCAAAAATAACACCCAGCATGCCAGGCTATATAGGAAACTTTCAGTCTCTAATGAACTTATTTTCTATGAGCTTTACAATGGCTGGGCTGGGTAGTTGGGGTCAGGGTGAGGGTTGATAAGGAGCAGTTGCCATTGAAATTTTCAGCTGAGGACAAAATGAAGGTATAGCCAGTTCATGTTGAGAGTAAGAGTTTGAGATCCAGAAATAACTAGTGCCAATGTTCCTTTACTTCCTACATCCAAATGAGTAGCATGATGTGGAGTAGTGAACTCTTTAAGACTTACAGTGTCCTTTTCCCTTCATATTTTCACTAATGGTGAAATAGATTGCCTGGGCCTTAAACAAAGGAATAAAAGCAGATTACAAGCAGTATTGGGATGTAGAACTTGGCGTTACCTATATTCCATGGGACAAAGTCAAGCCTGAGGAACTGGAGAGTTTTTGTGAAGGAGGAATGTTGGACAGTGATACACTTAACCCAGGTAAAACTGTAATTTCTTTTACAGTTCATTTATTTGCTTGGAAGTGTGTTTAATAAAATATCTGGTTTGTTCTTTATAAGAAAAAATTTTAGAGATTTAACACGAACACAAGGCTCAAAAATTTTGGATTTGGGAGGATTACACATTTAAGGTTTTTGAATTAGAGATGGTCCTGCCTGTAAAATCTGCAAATATTCTGAAACATTTCTAGTCCCAGGCATTTTGGATAAGGGGTACTCAACTTGTACTCTACTTTAATGCAGTGCTTCATCATAATTTCTTTGGAAATTTTTAAATGTTCAGAGAAGCAATGAAAAGAAAATGTAAAGACTAGGAACTTCAGTTACCTCTGGTTATTAATATTACAGATGCCAGATTGACAGTAAGATTGCAGTGGGGAAAATAGAAAAATATATGGGCATGACCTATAGATTAATAGATAACAGAAACAAAGGGCATAAAGTGGCTTGGAAAATAGAATGAGCATTCAAAGTAATCTTGAAGTAGGAGTGATGTTTGAGAGCCAGAATTGGTTAAAAATAAAAGTGCTGTACTATTCCCAAACGCCACCTTATCTTTCCATAATGCATGGTGCCTTCACTTAAGGATAGAGCTTGGTTTCTGTTCAGGCAGTCAGACCTGCTATCTTCCAGGTATCTGGGAGGCTCTGAACCAAAACTAAAAAGGCTGGGGAAGTGGTAGTCCTGAAGCTCATACACAATGGGATGGGGGGGGGGGCTCCTTTAAGAGAAGGAGAATCTCTGATGGATTAGTGTTCTAGAGGACAGAATGGAAAGATACTTACCTATTTTTCATTTGACTAGAAGGTATGTGGAAACATGTGAGAGGATATCCGAGTTATTCTTTAATATTAGAGAAAGTTTATTTAGTACACTCCTGTGGTTAAAAACAGACTCTAGAGCAGGGTATGTCTGAGATGAATCCCCTACCACTTACTAGGAATGTGACTTTGGGCAAATTATCTTTGCTTTCCTCATTTGTAAAATGGGAATATAATAGTAATCTACTTTAGATAGCTTTGAAAATGTTAGTATACATAAGTGCTTAGGATGTGGCTAGCACACTGTAAGCACTTTTTTCCATGTTTTTTATTGTTCCTTAATTTAAATAATTATTGTTTATAAAATTCACATAGGAATTTCCGTATTAATTTGGCTCCGGTTTTTATAATCTCATTGTTACATTTCTTTAAATTTTATAGATTGGAAAGGAATTCCCAAGAAGCCTGAAAATGAAGTTGCTCAAAATGGAGGTGCAGAAAGCTCACATACAGAACCAGTATCACCCATACCTAAACCTTTACCTGTGCCTGTACCTCCTATTCCTGTTCCTGCACCTATAACAGTGCCACCTCCACAGGTGAGAATATTTGGGACATAGTTTAAATTTTTAAGAATCTGAAGATTCCTTTATAGATCTTATTGTAGTCGTATGTCTAGATTCAGTCAGAACCACAAGTACATACATATGCATATTTTTTATATTGTGGCATATCATGTCATTTATAATCTCTATAACACTTTCTTTTCATAAATATATTGCTTTACCATCTGTTCAGATTGTTCACTGTCTTAAAATATTCTAGACATTAATTCTAATTATTAGTTTTGTAGGTACATACTCTTTTTTTCTTATGGGTCCTTTATTCTTCAGAATATTATTTACTGAAGGAATTTGGATATGCACCCAGTACAGCTGCTTTGAGGGAAGGGGAGCCTCTTAATCTTCAGTTTCAATGGTGCCATGATGAATTTTTTTTTAACAGATATTGAAAGCTAGTTAATAAGCTGAGTGTCATTTAACATAATGAGAGGTGTATTATTAGAAAAAAACCTTTGCTATCTAGTTAATTCACCTGGTGCTTCAAAAGAAAAAATGCATATTCTGATAGAATTGCATTTGAGTTCCAGCTCCATTGTTTGTACTTAGCAGTGTGACTTTGAGCAAAGCACCTAACCTTTCCTAGCTTTGGCTTTGTGTTCCTCTTAGGTCAGAGTTGTTTTGAGGAATAAATGAGACAATGTGTGTTAAGCACTCGGCATATTTCCTAGCATATAATAATAATAATGAGAAAACATTTGGTTGAAATTTATAAATACTAGATCCATAGTTCTGAATCAGATAAATCTGATCTGTCACAAAAATAGGTTGTCTGGTCTCTTGATTTTCTCTCAATGTAAGGGGAAAATTACATGTTTTGATATATAAACAGCTGGCATTTGTTGGCTATTTAGTATAAAGTGTCAGGTACCAGTAATTAATGTGTATTACTCAGTACCATAATTATGTGATATTGGCACATATCCCTTTTTTTCATATTGGGATTTGAACTCTGGGGCACTCGACCACTGAACCATTTCCCTATCACCTGATTTTGTATTTTATTTAGAGACAGGGTCTCACTGAGTTGATTAGTGCCTCGCTTTTGCCGAGGCTAGTTTTGAACTCACAATCCTCCTGTCTCAGCCTCCCAAGCCGCTGAGATTACAGGCATATATGTACCACCGTGCCTGGCTGGCATGTTTCCATTTTAGAAAGTTTAAATAGCTTGCTTCCCCCACATGTAGCCACCTAAGAAGAGGGTAGAGACAACTTAGCTCCAGGATTTGTGTTCTTAGCCACTAGGTGATTGCTAAGTAGCACTTCTTAGAGCTAGAGTTCCCAAAATTCATTGAACTTTGAAACATTTTTAAAGGTATCATTTGCTTTCAGAGCACCAGTGGATGCTGATGAAATAGAGTGTGAATTTGCATTCCTGAAGGAGAAAGCAAAACTTCCCCTTTTTCTCATTTGACTTACCTTTATGTCATATTTATATAATTGTATCACAAGTTATATCTTATAACTAATTGATTGATAGATAAGCACAAATTTAGAAACATTTAGTGTTCCAGCAATAAAATATTTATTTCATCTAAATATACTGTGTGAGGGCAGCTAGGTGGATAATTCCATTTTTATTTCTGTTTCTTTCTAGGTCCCACCACATCAGCCGGGTCCTCCTGTAGTTGGTGCTCTCCAGCCACCCACATTCACACCTCCTTTGGGAATTCCCCCTCCAGGTTTTGGTCCTGGTGTTCCTCCACCACCTCCTCCACCACCATTTTTGCGCCCAGGATTCAATCCAATGCATTTACCACCAGGTACACTAAGTTGTTTGAGAAGACATTCTTTTAGAATCTGAAATGAAGTGATACAAAAGTTGACATTATTTTTCTTACTTTAGGTTTTCTTCCTCCTGGACCCCCACCTCCTATAACTCCACCAGTATCCATTCCTCCTCCTCACACTCCACCAATAAGCATCCCAAACTGTAAGCATGTTTTTCCATTGTGTTCACTTGACCTTTTCAAGCTGGGGGTAGAAGGGAGAATGAACCAGTAATAGGATCTATAGTGTGGCAGAAGAATGTTGACCAGGAAGATAATTAATTATTCAGCTTCACATGTTGATGTAATTATATTCCTTAGCTACTATCGCTGGTATAAATGAAGACACTACAAAAGACTTATCTATTGGAAATCCCATTCCAACAGTGGTGTCTGGGGCTAGAGGAAATGCCGAGTCTGGTGACAGTGTGAAAATGTATGGCTCTGCTGTGCCACCTGCTGCACCCACGAATCTGCCTACCCCTCCTGTAACCCAGCCTGTTTCACTTCTTGGTAAGTTGATTTTTTTTTTAATCATTAGTTTCCCCACCCAAGTTAGGTATCTTAAAAATAATGTGAATTTTGGAGAAGTGGTCTCTGAGGCTAGTTTTCTTTGAGGAAAATCTTCTTAAATGTGTGTTTATAAGAAACCTCAAAGGTGGCATCATGCTTATTTGTCTTGAATAAATGTTTGGATTTCCACATCTTAGTTTGGTACAAAAAATGATTAATCTCCTATGTAAAAGAAATTGTTACAGAATTCATGATTAACATACCTTCTTACTCTTCCAGTTTCATAAAAATATTTCTTTGATGATATAGGTTTTTCTTTGTCTGGATCAATTTTTATCCATCTGAAACCTCTGAACTTTGATAGCATTTTTTGTAGGATGGCAAATCATCTTTGCTACATTGCAATAAAATGACTGGTTTCTGAGTAATAGTTTCAGCTCCTGAGGAACCACTTTCCCTCTGACTCCTCAGTTTTCTCCTGATGGAGTTTATATTCTTTATCTACAACCTCACTACTGCAATTAAGAAAGGTATGGCTTAATTTTTTTACATCTTTAGGAGGGCTTAGTCTGGCTGGCTTAAATTATAAAAATATGTCACAGTTAATTTCAGTAGACCATCTTTTAAATTAATATATTTTTATATTTGAAGTAGTTATTGCCAAGTATAACTAACATTTTATTCTCCTAATGGGAAGATAATGCTTACTTCCTGAATGTTATAGTATTCTAGAACTGTGAGCCCACTATGTTTGTAGAGGTGTGTGTGTACACATTTGCTTTTATCATCTTAGATTTTTTTTTTTTTTTTTAAGGGAAAAACCATTGGTTACCTCTGAAATAGGTGTAGGACTATGGGACATCGGTTTATGATGAAGGATTTTTATGCTTTCACTTATTCCTTTGATATTTTTGTAAATTTTGATGATATAAATATACATATACACACACATTTATAGTAGAAGCCAATGGCATTCTGTGTATTCTGGCCTCTTCAAGACTGAGCTCAGGCCCACAGTCAACTTGATTTTTTATTTCCCTTAGGATACAGATTGGGAAATAATAAAAGACGATTTGAGACTAAAATTTATCACAAGTAATTTGGCAGTATTTATCATAATGATGGAAAGTGATTTGTTTTAATAAGAAGGTTGCTTAAGAGATCTACATTGTAATGAAAATTGTAGTAGAAGCAACATCACACAGGAATCAAAGAACCTTAACATCTTTGTGGCTTGTTGTCATGCTTAAAAATATATATGTATTTTAGTTGTAGTTAGACACAGTGCCTTTATTTTACTTATTTATTTTTATGTGGTACTGAGGAACAAACCCAGGCCCTTGAACATGCTAGGCAAACGCTCTACTGCTGAGCCAGAACCCCAGCCCTAATGCCTTTTTTTTTTTTTCCTTTTTTCATATTTATAAGATGGTTGTACCAGGGTCACAGAATCTGAATCATAGAATTTTCTGATCAACCCCTTCTCTCCATATTTTCTCTACCCACATACACCTTCAGTTATGAATTCATTTTGAATTGAAATTTTGTCTGTGGTCCGTAAATAATAGGTCACTCTGGACTGTTTACAAAATTATGTGCATTTGTGTTTTTCTCTGGGCTTAGTAAATTCATTGAATGAGTGGAAAGATTTCATGATCTCCAAGAGTTTAATAACTACTGCTTTCAAACAACCCTGAAGAGTAAGTACCTGCCTCTGATTTAACATTAGATCTTGAAAACCTATTTATTTATTTACTTACTTTGGTACTGGGGATTAAACCCAGGGACATTTAACCACTGAGCCACAACCTGAGTCCTTTTTTGTATTTTATTTAGAGACAAGTTTTCACTGAGTTGCTCAGGCCCTTGCTGAGTTGCTGAGGCTGGCTTTGAACTCACGAACCTGCCTCAGGTTCCTGAGCCACTGGGATTACAGGTGTGCACCACTGCACCCAGGCTGGCCCTTTTTTCCTTACCACTACTGAACAGACAGTTTAGCCTCTGCATCCAACATGTGAAACAAAATATAACACAGAAAAAAAAAAGCTAGTAAACTTAGTAAGCTCAGTGCCACAGTACAGATAATTAAACTTTAAATCTTTCTTCACATTTCGTATTATTTTTGTCTGGCTTATCAGACCTCCTCCCCACTGAATAAAATTTCCATGAGAAAGGGATACTCATTCATTGCAGGGCTATTGATATTTCACCTCTGCTGATTACTTTTGACTGTAACTTTTAAAATGGAAGTTTAAAAATTGAAGGCCCTTTCAAATACTGAAAGGTTTAAAATTTGACAAAGTAAAAATGAAAACCATTTTTAGTTTTATTAAACAAAGTGCTTTAACTAAAGTGCAGTTCTAGTTGTGAGGAAAAAAGGCCTTCGGTTTTTAATCAGAAATCTTGAAAATAATGTCACATAAGTTTTGACCTATTAAAAGAGAAGTAAGATTTTTTTAAACTATTACAAAAGTTTATTTAACAAAATAAGAAAATGCACTTGACCTAATTTTTACATCATGGTAAAAGCAGGCTTTTTGGAGAAGGGACATGGATTTTTCTGCTGAATAGCTATCATTTATATTCACTAAGGCGTCTGACATAATACTATTTCCTCATTACCACCTATTGTTCTCTTGCCCGCTGGTTGCCATCTTCACAGAGTCATCTGTTGTAAAGATTCATAAAAGGATTACATTCCCACAGTATTTCTTGAATGTGTCTACCAATATTTAATTTTAATGATAAATTCTTGTCCATCCCTTTTTTTTTTTTTTGGCTTGAAAAGGTAAGCTTTACTCATGGTGAATACTTGGCAGGTTCAAAACTGCTTTTTCAAAATAAGATTCTTAATATGTCTGCAAATAAAGAAGGAGTGGTTAAAACAGACTAACCATAGTCCCATCATTTTGATGAAGGAATGCAGTAATCACATTGCAGTATTGCAGTACTAAAGGATCAGTGATTTCAGTAGAGGTATTACTGGTATGCTCCAGGTCTGGAGTATTGGAGCTGATGCTTCTGGTTTTTTCTTGGTGCTCTAATGTTTTCTTTTAAGTTCATAAAAGGAAATGCTATGCTGACCAGAAAACTTGTAAGCCTAGAAGTTGACACTGAACTCTCATTTCCTCACCTGTAAAGGGGAGTAAAAGTGACATTGACACACCAAGGTGTCATAATTATTCAATGGGGGTAAAACATCCGCCACAGGGTAGGCATTTAGTGAACAGTGGGTGTTATTACAGGTAAGAAATGATGTTTAGAACACTTAGGGAATATTTATACTTTGAAATCCTAAAATTCCTTTGGTTGTAATTCTTTCTAAATTCTTTGTTGGCAAACAGGAAAATAACTTATTAGGAGGAAGTATATCTTGACATAGTTGCCTCAGATATTTTCAAGGTAGATTAGACCATATCTTAAGTTCACACACTAAAAATTCCTTTATTTGGCTTACTGAGAAAATGTGTGTGTTAAATCATCGTGGTGTTCATTTAAATAGCATAACTTGCTATCTAAATTGGTTCCATTTATGATATCCAATAGTTATCTTATAATGGAAGATAAATGTGTCATTGAGACTTAACTGAGCTCTTAGATCATAATTTCTGAAATATGCTAATAAAGTAGCAGGGGCCAAACAAATGTTCAAGATATCTCCAAACAGTCTGTTTTGAGGCTTGATTATAATGGGAAGAGGCATTAGGATGCCTTAAGGATAATTTGGTTTAAGAATTTTCTGTATTATCAGACTTCAATGTGGGCATTAGTTTGGAGTGACTGCTGGTCTCTGGATCTAGGCTGAGGTAGTTTGCCTGACCCCTGCTACTATATACGAAGAGAATTAAATTCCCATCATTAGACATGATTCTTTTGGTGATACTGGAAATAGAAAAATACCAGATATACAATAATAATTTATTACTAATTGATTTTAAAGAAATCTGTACTTAGTAGCTCACAAGCCAAAGTAGTTAGCACAGGGCTGGTTTCATAAAAGCTAAAGATAACATTGTGTAGTTGTTGGTCATTTAGGAGAGGAGAAAAATTAAAGATCACAGCAATTCAGTTCATTCTCTTGACTGTATCTGTGTTTACTTTTCTCAAAAACTTTTGTATAATAATGTATCTCTAACATGATGTACAGCATATTTTTATTAAAAAGCTCATTGTAAATGTGAAGTTTGGGTTACTTTGGTGTTCCAAACAATAAAAAAAATACACACAAAAAAAATGTTTGTTTGTGTTACCTATCTCTACCGTGTTACCAGGCTATCCAGAATGTTTTCAAGCAAAAACTAATGTCGGTTGAATTCATTCCTTTGTGGATAATTAAAGCCTTTTGTCAAATACATTTATTCAGTAATCATTAATATAAAGATTTTTGTTGCACTACTGCAAATGATGGCAAAGTAAGAATTGAGTATTTGTAAGATCCTTTTTTACTTATAACTTTTGTAGCCAGAGGTTTTAAAGAGTCACAAATTATTGGCCTATTAGGCTGAATTGCTAGGCAAGTGTTGTGATAAACTCATTCCCTGTGTAGCCTCAGTAGATATTTGACTTTATCCTAAACTTGGGCACCTTGAGAAATATGGAGACAAAATTGATTTGTGAATTATTAAACACTTGTGTTTGCTTTTGTGCAATAGTTATGATCCCTAAAACTGCCTAGGAGGCAAATGATTTTACCAGACATTTCAGAAATTCCTTTAAGATAGGTATTTATTTGATGATGATTTCACTTAGCTTTGGATTTCTTTGCCTAGTCTCTAAAAGTTTGAAGTTTTTTAGAGCTAGTAATTTTTAACAACATTTAAATTAGAACATTAGAGCACCAATCTTTAGTAATGTATTAAGTCATTAACGTTGAAAAGAAAACCTGGAGAAGATTCTAGAAATTAGGAGTTTTAAAAACACAATACAACCTAATTTTAAAGAACAGTTTTTACACTTTAATATTTATTTTGAACTTTAGTATATGATTTGATTACGTTAAA